AAGCACCTTGTGCTCAGATGACACCTCTGTAGCTCTCCTTGATGGGAGATCACAGGATCAAACCCTGGTAGTGGGGTATTGACTCTTTGAGCTGCATTAGATAGAAAAAGTATAGAAGAGATATTACTTTGTAATAGAGTCACATTACTTTAGAATTGTAGAGTAAAATAAAAACATATATGATAGGATTTCACAATATATAATTCTGTTTTTCATGAAGCCAAATATGTAGTAGTAGATATTCATTAATTGCTTCCAATTTGGATGAGAAATCCTTGTGAGGGATTTATTAAGGTTACAATTGGGTAGAATGGTCATAGATGATTAGGGATGGCAGCGGGGCTATATTCACATTCTCGTTTTTATTGGGAATAAAAATTCTTCCAATTCCCATTCCCACATAAAATTTTTAGAGATTGAGAATTCACGCCCCCAGTTAACTCTATAGTCAAAATAGTATAATTTTTAATATTTAACTAAAAAGTTTAAATAACAACATTTTAATTTAAACTATCAAATTCAAATATTAACCTAATACTTAATTTATTAATTCGTCATAACTTCATCAATATATATTATTTTTAAAATTAATGTACCAAAGACAAGATAGGGAGGGGTATATCCATTAGTTATTGACGGTGAATTTAATGGATACAACTCTCCATCCATGTCCCCATTAGAGTAGGGACGGGGGAATTATGTAATGTTAGATGAGAAATTGTTATCCTTCTAAATAATGTTACACAATTCAACCAATCTACTATTTAGTTATGCACTTTTAACTATTAAAATTTTAAATAAAGAAATAAGGACTTGATAATAAGAGTCGAAACCACACACATTTCATTGCTAGGAATAACCTAGCAAAAAAAAGATATCCCTAGCTATTTACATATATGTTTTATTATAATAATGAATTGTTAAATGTTTGATCAAGTTATAAGCATAAATATTTATTTACTTAAAATCTGTTCATCATTTTAATTGTTCTCTTAAACATGAGAAGAAAATAGCATCTAAGAAACAAGTGAAACTTTTAAGAAAACTCCTTGATGAGGAAACATTGAATGGAGGTGGGTTCATATCATAATGATTACCATTAGAAGAGCTGATGAGTGTATTTATTAGCAGTGCATATATATATATATATATATATATATATATATATATATATATATGAAAAAACATCATGACAGTTTCAAGTATCCTTAACACACTGATCTTTCTTCCTCTTTAATCTCTTCGACAGCATCTTTAATAATTGCGTTTGGTCTGCGCATGCAATGCATCGGTTTGAATTGAAAAGATATATATTGTGTTAGTTTATACTTGTAAATTGAAAGAGACACTCTTTCATGGACTATTACACTATTATAGAGGTGATAAATTCCCCAAAAAAGGTTGCTTAATACACCAAATGTTCAATTGAGTTGATGTATTGCATGTGACCTAAGTTCCTTCTATTCTATTTCTTTATCTTAAAGATAGTCACTGTTTCTTTTCTTTTTAAATTAAAATAATTCCATCTTTATATTTACTACTCCGTCATTAGTTGGTTAGGTAGTTAATTTCAAAGGTTTCAAATTTGACCCCTTGGAAGAATTACCTATTGGTCTTTTAGATTTGAACCAATTTACTATATACAACCTATGGATTAGAATTCAGCCAAGTGTAGCACCTCATCGGACATGGATGAAATTAGCATCGATAAAATCGATTGGTCTTGGAGCACCCAAGCCTTGTGCGCTGGGTTCAGAATCATCCCTGTCGCCGGCGTTGTGCCTGAGCCGGAATCCGAGGCCGCTGCGACTGTCGCCGGTGGACATGGCGTGGAGCCATCCACATACCCCAGCAGGTCCTGCCCCCTCAAGAAAGGGACCAACTGAGTCCTCCAGAAGAGGAAGTTGCGGCTATTAAGCTTCATGGAAACATGGTGATGGGCGCCGGCCAATGGGTTGGCGGTCGCCGGTGAGGGAGAGCCGCCGGCGGAGACGGTTCGTTCCGATGACTGTGACATGGTTTCGATGTTAGTTTTCAATGGAGTTTGTTTAGGAAAGGTAGAGAGAAACAAGGTGATCGTAACCTATCTGATTCCATATTAGAATTCAGATTTCATTCATTAGTTGTAACAGAAGCGATTACAAAGTATTAAAAGATAATTAACGTAAGACTCTCCTGTCTAATAGAGAATCCTAAGTCAATTAAACCTGAACCACATAAAACAACTATATATTATAGAAAATAATAACACTCACTAACACTATGATAGTTTACTTTGTAGTATTTTACCAGCTAAAGTTAGGAAGCGGGCTTCACCCAAAGCATGCCTTTGGATAATGGATGCAAGTAATGATATTTATTCTATTTTGTTCTTTGTAAATAGAAAGTGATGATTATTTGATTATATCATTTTAAAATAATTTCGTGTAATTTTTAACTGTAAGAGGTATGTGTTCATACTATTTAAAGGGTGAAAACTTGAGATGTCTAGACACTGATCAAAAAGTTGTATAGTTATCTAGGAAGGGCAAAAAGATTAGTGAAGGAAAGTGATAAACAAAACATGTTTTGTGAGTATGTAATGGTCATCTTTATGGGCAAATGGGCAAAGCAAAGCCTTAGATGATTAGTTTAGTTAAAGTAGGGAGAATTAATTAATTAATTTATTAATGTGTGGCAAACTAAAATGTGAATAAGCACAATCTTTAGAGATTCTTGTGTTTAAGGTATCAAACCCATCATTGCAAGTTAGGGATGGACCACAAAGGGGTGAAAAGAGCCCACTTCTTGTAAAAGCCCGCCCACGCGTGATCCCTGCGGGCCTCAATTAGCCTTGTAATTTAATCATGATTAATGATGGTGATTAACTATTTCAAGTACAGGTTTTGCGAGTCTTAAACACATGCATAAACTAGCTTTTGTGCTGATTAGTATTGTTTGAGGTTTTATTTATTGCCTGCTACTCCGTATATTGTGGGGCGTTCGTGGTCGTTTTGAGGTTTCGCAATTATTGTTGTTTTGGTAGGATTTGACAATGCCCCTCTCGTGGATCGTGTGATTAGATGTCTGACCTATGAGGTGGGGTGTCACAATAAATTATCAATAACAAAATGTTGAATGGAGTGATCCACGGGTATAACATAATTTTTTTATATAATATAACAAGATTAATTTTTTGTCAATATTATTTTAATTAAGTTATTTTATTAGTTATTTAATAAAATGACCATAGAGTTGGAGATTATAAAGCGAATGACAACTCCAAATCAAGTTGATTGAACAATTATTCGGGTAATTATAAGGTTTTAAGTTTGACTCGCTATGAGCGCTATCTATTACAGATTAGCTTTATTGGTTCAAAAAAGTAAGTTATAAGTAATTTATGTTGATTTACTTTATTGTAGTCATTTATCCATTTTAGAGTGTTATAAAACGATATTTATCCATAACACACTTTTTAATAGTGACGGCATATTTATTCATATATCAAAATTGATGGATACTCCGAGTGGGATACCCAATCGAACATACAATTGGAGTGATGGGTGGTCGACAATCGAGAGTCGGGAGAATGGAAGAACCATGGACCCAGGCGTGAGGGGTGCGAATATTCCAAGATCTTCCTTGAGATTTAAGAGCAAGATTTCCTTTCTTCATTTTAGGAATGAGATCTCATAACTTAGGAAACAAGACCCAATACAGTTTAGGAAAGTTTCTTATATTCAAATTTGTTAAGTTTTCTCATTTCTTTTTATCTACAACTTGAATATGTATAAATATCCCATGAGATCATAATATAGGAGATCTGATTCTCATCTTCTCTAGCAATATCATTGCCTCTCGTTCTTTCTTGGCGCCTTATTTTGTTCAAAGCTCATTCATAATGTCTTACGATTGTGTTGACCTGCCGACCAAGTTACCACGTAGCTGTAAAACCAACAAAACTGTTTAAAAAATTTGCAAAAGCAATATTTTTTGAGTGCGATTTAGACTAATCCTGAGTCAGATCCCAAGCTTTGGTTTTAAAAATCACAAATTTGGGGTTCTTAAAAAACATTTATAAGTCACCGACCAACCTCAGAATTTTCTCCAAAAAAAGAACATTTCTTGTAGTAATTGTTCTTCGGGGATAAGAAAAAGGAGATATATGATGTACAATGTGGCCTAGTGGCTACTGGGTAGTGCAGGTTGGATGATGACTTACAGAGCTATAATCAGCCGTTAATGTCGGCATAATTGCAATATCCAGCAAGATCACAGCCTTACCAGTGTTAGACTAAATTATTCTTAGTTTGACTAGTTTGGTTGTTGAAATAAGAACTTGCAGGCACAGTAGCTTAGGTACACTAGGCATGGTATATTTAGAATATTCGACAACTTATAAACACAATTAATTTTGTTGGGCATATTAATTATTAATGTGCAATCTAACTATGAGTTTAAGTTTTTAGTTGAGATGAAGCACATGCATCAATTTAGTATCAGAGTCAGACTAAAGGTCCTGGGTTCAAATCTCCATGTCAGGTAGGAAGATGGATTAATAATCACAATATTTTAAAATTGAGTAATTGTAGAAGTTATATATTGACATTGCTGATTGAGTTGACCAGTTATAAACAATCTAAGTTGATTTACCACATTATGATCTTTTATCGGATAAGATTAGGACACATGACATGAGTTTTAATCTCATCCACTTATCATTTTTATTGTATAATTTAGTGTCGTTTAGACATCAACAGCTGTCAGCTGGAAACCGTACGAGGACAGTGAGGTAATTATATGATGAGATTCCCATTATTTCCCCTGCGGTCTGATTGTCCGAAGACGAAGAAAATTCAAGAAAAAGAAAAAAAAAAAAAAAAAGACTGACACACGAATTAAACAAAGAATTGAATAGCAAATCAGGGGGGACGATTCGGTACTTCTCTCAATCAGAAAACTTGCATCTTTACTCCATACACTATCGTACACCCAGCCCATCTTTGCAGGATTTCATCCATCTTCAAAATCCGTAGCGATTTGCAAAACTGGGAGTGCCTAAATATAATACATACATACAATCAATCTTGTAAATGGCCAGCCGGCAGAAGATATGATTTGGTGGGGGCGGGGGAGTTTAAACAGTGAAGAACACCGGAAATTGCATAGAGGCGAGGAGGATGATATCAATGGTGGGCTCAAAAGAATTGTTAGGTTAGTTGGCACTGAGAAAAATGAGTGTGTAACAGCAAAGAGAAGTGTGGTTGAGTAGCTGGCAAATGTGTCAGACATATAAAATAGTGGAAGCTAATGTCAAGCAAATTAAAGCAACCAGGAAGGAAGCAAGCGTGGGCTATATTTGTTAATGTACCATATATTTATAATCTACGTACAAATCTAATGTAATGATAATAAAGTTGAGATCTTTTTTGGGTAGAATAATAATAATAAGTATAATGTGGTTTAATTGAGAGCATGAAAGAAAATGAAGGGGGAGACTATGTGGGATTAGGTTGTGTAATAATTAAAGCAGCAAAGCTGTAAGAGCAGTTGGCAGTGGTTAGTCTGTCTTTTAAAATCATACATGTCACCCGTTTAGCCTGGGCACTGGGCAGGTAAAAGATGCCAATTGCCAAACACCCGGCGGCCTTGTTAACTTCTCTTCTCTCATCATTCTTTATATGCTTTGCTCTCACACCTATCCCCTAGGGAGTAATTTAGGATAATTTGATCTATAAAGATCCTTGCTTTCTTTGCCATTTCTGCAAGTGCCCACAGTGCAGTGGGTGGATAGATTTACTTCTTTGTGGAATTTGAACCAGCATTTGATTCTTAAGGGGGAGTGCCATCAAACAACCCATTTGAGGGTCTGGGTGTGAGGTCCCCCGCTCATTTATCTCTTCCTCTCCACAATTCCAGTAGTTTGATGGTTTTGGGTACCCAGATTGAGAATATCTAGAAAAGGGTCCTTGGGACTTTGCTTTTCTTGATCCTTGTGGGGGGTTTTGGTTGAGTCTTGATTCTAAGCTTCTTTTACAAGGATTGGTATATTTTTCTTCCCTGCCAAAAGGGGCTTCTTTTACCTAGTTTAGGGCGTGATCCTCATTGTGTGCAGCTCAAAAACAAGATTTAAGCCCTGCTAAGATCAAGTTTAGTGTTGAATTAGAGGATGTGAAAATATATGACACTTATGGGGTTTGCATAAACATCAGGGAAAGAAAGGGAATCTGCTTTCTTTTTGTTCCTCTGGTGAGCTGTTACTTACGCCTTTCATTTCTCTCCCATTGTCCACTTTATGCCCTGAAAGTTTCGTACTTTCTTCTCCCTGAGGGGATTACTTTTTTTTTTTTTCTCTCTTCTCTCATCAGAGTAGACTAGATCCAAGGGGTGAATAGAGTGGGGGGTGCTGTGTAAGATTTTATGCCTGGTACATTGGATTTTTCCCTTTTCCTTTGTGTCTGTAAGGATGCTGTGCTGAGAGGCTTCTTTTCTTTTCTTTGCTTTGCTTTAACCCTAGACCCCCTCTCAGTCCTATAAAGCTGCCAGCTTACTTTGTTCCTTGTTGAGTCCTGCAAGGTATTACCAGCCTGTTTTTGGTCAAACCTAATTTGCCTTTTTGTTACATTAAACAGGTAACCATCTGGGCTTTGGTCTTGTGGTTCACCATAGAAATTGGGGCTTTGCCTTTTTGAAGGTGCACGGTGGTGTGTGTGTTCCACAAATTCTGGGGTTTTGGTTTTGAAAATGGGCACTGAGGATAATAATGGTGATATGGGGCTCCAACAACACAGAGCTAATGTTAGTATTTCAATGGCAATGAGCTCAGAATCCAGTTTCAGGTCTCCTCCTACTGGGATGGACTCTCTCTCCTTTTGTGCTTCTGGTTGGGATCCTATGGTTCCAGTGAATCAGAGCTTGCATTACCCGGTTGCGATTGATAATCAGCCGATGAGTAGCACTTCTCATCTTGTTCACTATCCCTCGGGGGGTTCGGATGTGGTTGATATGGTGCCCAAGGTTCCGGCTTTTGGGAATGAAGGTTTCTCAGAGATGGTCAGTTCTTTCGGGCTACCGGATTGTCGCTTGAATTATATGCACAACATAGGGGTTGCCACTAATCGACCCTTTTCCCGGGGCCAACACTCTCAAGAGGATTGCTTGAATTTGGAAGAGGCCACTATGGGGAAGAAGAGAAGATCATCAGAGGCTCTTTCTCCATCAATTGCCAGTAAGGTACTATAAGCAAATCATCCTTACTGTGTATTAATTGTTATGTATAATTTGGTGGATTAATTGTTAGTTATTGTAATAGAATGTTGAAAGAGAACAGCCCAAAGATCCATTGGGAGACAATTCTGAATGCTCAAAAGAAGACGAAAAGAAACATAAAACCGAACAAAACAATAGCTCGAGTTTGAGGAGTAAGCAAGCCGGGAAACAAGTCAAAGATACTTCCAGTAGCGGGGAACCCCCTAAAGAAAATTATGTTCATGTAAGGGCTAAACGCGGGCAGGCTACAAACAGCCACAGCCTTGCCGAAAGGGTAAACCCTCTCTCCAATCACCCTTTCTCTTGGTCTGTCTCGATTCGGGATTAAATACTTTGGAGGCAAGCTCAGTTTTGCTTGTGAAAATGAATGACCTTTCTTTATGGTTTGCAGGTGAGACGAGAAAGGATCAGTGAAAGAATGAGATTGCTTCAAGAACTAGTTCCGGGCTGCAATAAGGTTGTCACTGGCTTTCGTCTTTTCCAAATTATCGGTCATTTTACCCTGCTGAATATTGACGATTTTGATTTGTAGATCACTGGGAAAGCGGTGATGCTTGACGAGATTATTAACTATGTGCAGTCACTTCAGCAACAAGTCGAGGTATGTGTTTAGCAACCTCAGTTATGTTGCAGCCATGTTTTTGTAGTGTTCTTTAACATTACACTAATTGTAAAATTGGTCGATTTGATTAGACTTGATAATTATTGGCTTGAAACTCATGATTTTAAACATAGCTTTATGATTAACAAATTCAATTTTATTCAATTACTTTTCCATAAGCCCATAGTTCTGTTCTTAATGGGGTTATAGAAGGGAATCTGAAAACTCACCGCATAACTCGAGAAAAAGTGATTAATGCTTTGTTTTATTCTCTGTTGCTCGAAATTCATATGCTACTTTATGCCTTGACCGCTGAATATGGGGATGGTTTTGAAGAATGTGTGTTTTTTGAGCAAATTATTAGCAGAAATGATTCCTTAAAATTTCGTAGAATTCTATTTTGGAACAATGAGAATGCTACAGATGCTAATCATATACTCTGTATATCAAGGTTAGACTATTTAATTAAATCGAACTATATATCTGCAATATGCAGCATATAATCTGATATTCAAATTGATGACAACCTTTTGGTCTTTCGCTCATTTCCAGTTTCTGTCGATGAAACTTGCTACTGTGAATCCCGAGCTGAACTTTGATATCGAACGAATATTATCCAAAGATGTAAGTACGGGAAATTGACTGTCCATCATATATATATATATATTCGAGTATTAGAAAGAAGTTTGAAGCTTATCAGCAATTTGGCTTCTGTTTAGATTCTTCACGCACAAGGAAACAATGGAGCTCTTCTCGGACTTGGCCCGGGATTGAACTCACCACATCCTTTCCCCGGTGCTCCACTGGGAACATTCAATAATGTCCCCAACGCCACGCCATTTCACTCATTGCCTCAGGTAAACTTCATATCAGTCTCCTCGCTATACGGTTTGTTCAAGAATGTTGATATTAAAACTTTTTTTCTGCCCAGAATGTGTGGGAGAACGATCTCCAGAGTATTCTCCAGATGGGATTTGATTCTAACTCTTCTTTGAACAACATGGGACCAAACGGTAATCGTTCATAGGACATATAGCGATATTTGTTGATCTTGTATTCACCCTCGGTTCTGGCGTTTTCCCCTCCAAACATAAAGATAGATGTCTCGATCGATCGAGCTGATTAGCAGGGTGGTGAAGAATGGATTTGTAGATTTCTGGGAATGCTAGCTGCTGTCAACTAATGCCTTAACTCTTCACTGCTGAATTTGTTTCTTTCCACTGGACAACAAAAAAGTAGCTATACATAATTTTCAGAGATGTATAGGTTGTTTAGCTCCTAACTCTTTGTTCTTCGAATTTTAGCAGAAGAAATGGCATTTCATATTTAAAATGGGGTTGTCTGTATGTGTTTAGCTTCATGCGGATTTTCGAACAATATCAATATTATTGTATGTGTAAAGTTTGCAATTTTTCAAATTTGTATGTGATTCTTGTTTAGTCTATCGAGTGGGATCACGTATAGACGCACCAGAGTTGAGTCTGAATAAAACTCTCTCATTTTTCAATGTCGAATACTCGTAATCATATTCAAATTCATGACTTTATGGACATGATGTTTTTGATTAGACAAAGTTATATATCGTATAATTTATCGAGTTAAGATGTAACGGGTCTTGTATTCCCAGGGATAAGTGGGATCAATAATTTCTTTATACTTTGCTTTATATATTATTGGTGAATAATGGGATGTTTGGATTGGACATGTTTGATAGGGCCAGTCGTACGTTGCAACGTCGCTGTCGGTGTCGACTCACCGCATCGGCCAACTATAGACAAGGATGGAACCAAGAACAGAAAATAAAGTGAAATAACTAAAGCAATATTTGCATGGTAGCTCCTACGTCACAATTCACAAGTCATATTCATATCGCATTCAAGTCCAATAAGTGAGCAATTCAAGATTTCATTTTGTTGATGATATTATATATGAATAGTGAAGGGTTTAGTGAGAATATGTTCTTAATAAAAAGTTTTAATTTATCCATTTGAATAGATATTCAAAAGTTAAAATTCTCAACCTCAAGTGCTCTCCAAAGGTTCAATAAAGAATACACGGGACAACCTCAACCATGTTGGTCGAACAATTAGTTTAGTATTCACAAGATTTCAAGTTTGATTTCTCATGGAACCTGTTGATTGGCTTAGTTTGAACTGGTCATAACTTAGACTGGTTTACCTTTTTGTAGTCTTTTATTAGTTAGGGTCACAACGCGAACATATTTTGAGTAGCGGTTGGATGCAATGCATGAGAACGAAATGAAGAGAATCTAAGGGCAAAAGGAAAAGCTGTAAAAGACACATTCAATGACAACCATCAAACCTCTGAGATAATACTAGAATAAATTGACTAGAATTATTCTATGGGAGAAACATTTTGCAAATCCTACTATATCCACAATCACTAAATCTAGTGTATGATGTTTTCCACTGATAAATTCTTGTTACGAAAACAAGAATCAAAAGGGGAAGGAAAAAGAAGCGGCCTTGGATGTTGCAGAGAGCATCACCTTCTGCAATTGTTCAGAGCAGCATTATACCATCTTTTTCCCATGCAACTTGTTCTCCCAGGAACAACTTGGTATTTTGTGTTACAAATGTATGTATATTGTCAGTCTAGAATATCTGCACAATCATTACAAATGGCATACTTCAAAAACTCAATACCTTGAAATATGGTACTGTTCTTTTAAGGAAATCTGGGGAGGGTTGAAAATCAGCATCAAATATGGCAACAAATTCATAGTCTTTGACATAGCTGCAATCCATATGGCAGATTTAAGATTACCAGCTTTGTATCCCTCCCTATTCCCTCTATGCCTGTACACGATATTCACACCGTCCTTCTGCCACTTAAATTATGCACCTCCTCTTCAATCAATGATTGAGTTATCAAATCGTTTGAATCATCAAGAACTTGAATCAACAGTTTCGATTTCGGCCAGTCTAAACTGCACAATGCAGCAATAGATTGCTGATAAACCTGATATCAGAAATGCAGCCAACACACATGCAGTTCAGACTACAATGTTGGCATCCACTATCAAACATCAAATGCCCAAGAAAGGATTTAAAGTACAACCAATGTAGTTTGGGCACCAAACACAGTTTCTATTATGGTATAATTTTAAAATTGGCCTCCAATAATTTTTCCGTTAAGTTTGTCCATTTCAGCCGTAAAATCTAAGGGCATAATAATAGTGTTGGTATTTACAACAAATAAGAAGCGTGTACGATTTATGTGCATGATATATCATATATGGTAATGTCTGGGATTGGTGATGCGATGGAATTGAACAACTTATAAGGAAATGGATCCATGCATGCATTAATAATAAGTCATATGTGGGGACGATTATGACAATTTTATTGCAACCTAATTAATTCATTATGCATCCATGCATACGTGCTAGTAATGTTAGTGAGTGATGTAGAATATATATATTACATAGTTTTCATGGGTAAATTTTGCATTAGAACTCTAACTCGTAAATGATTATAAGAAGGTAAAAGAGAGTCTAAGTTGTCCATAATTGATTGTTCCAAATCGATCGATAAGGTGAATAAACTATTCTTGTTGAGAATCAAATTTACTTGTATTCTTGTAGTTCTCAAGACAATAACCTAATTAACTTGATTGAGGTTTAATTTTCAATACGTGGAGTCAATCTGTGACTTTATAGTCCAATACATTGAGTCGATCCGTGACTTTACAGTACCGATACGGTATATTAAAATCAAATCTGAATGATAGTTGATAATAAAGTAATGCTTATTTAACTGCTTTGTTTGTTCTCCCTTTAATTAATTCCCAAAACAAAAATCGTACTAATATAATAAAAGAAGCAATTTACCTAGAAAATGACAGTTGAGTGGGTGAAACATGATTATCATATCTAAAAGTCACGAGTTTAATCATTGTCAATACTCTCTCGATCAAGCTTATTGTATAGAGTTTAATTTCCTAGTGCAGTTTACCTTTCTTGAGTGGTATGCATATAAAAATTTATCGCAATAGAAAATTTATAGAGTTAATTCCAGCAATGGTCCTCTGACTATATTGATTTTCCAAAATTAGTCCTTGACTTTTAATTTGGACACTTTAGGTCCCTTGACTTTCAATTTCTTTCCAATTGAGGTCCTTTTGTCAGAATACGGTTAATTGAATTTTAAATGAAGCGGTAAACTCATCATTTCACCTGCCTATGTATTATTCTTAGTATTTCTCCATTGTATACGTGATATATATGAAGATAATCTTAGTCGAAACCCTAAAATGTTCCTCGTCGTTCCCCATTTGCTGACTACTCGTGTATGCGTTCCTCTATTATTGAGATGTTTACAAGGTATAACAGCGAAATACGAAGGGAGAAATACGAAAAATAATACATAGGCAGGTGAAAGGACGAGTTTACCCCTTCATTTAAAGTCTAATGAACCGTATTCTAACGAAAGGACCTCAATTGGAAAGAAATTGAAAGTCAAGGGACCTAAAGTGTCCAAATTAAAAGTCGGGGACTAATTTTGGAAAATCACTATAGTCGGAGGACCATTGCTGGAATTAACTCAAAATTTATATAAGATGGGTTTGACTAAAATAGTGTTTACAAGAATCAAACTCATAACATTTATGTACGATAATTATGTTTTACCCACTTGGTCACTTATTCCAAGGTGTAGTATACACAATATTAAAACTTCAAGTGGCCGAATAAAATCTAAGAACAAATTATTGAGTGATTACACACTATCTAAAGGTATTACGGTATGTATTGAATAAACCTCATGTATAAATAGTGATTTCAGCAACGAATTTTGGTTGTGACTTGTGAATTTAGAATACATTTGATTTGTGAAGGCCACAATTTGGTATTTAGTAGGACAACTAATCTGTGATTGCAGTTTATTTTATACATTCTTTTTGTACCAATTGCACACAGATACACAAGTAATTAACAAAACACCCGCCCACTGCTTCAATATCTATATACAATTAATCAGTTGAAATATGCTACTTTTATATTTTATACCAATTGTTTTGTCATTACATTTGGCACATTTTAATTTAATTTGTGATATAAAGGTGTAAACGAATCAAATCACGATCTCAACTTGTTAAATCTTTAAACATGGTTTAATTAATACTGCATTGAGCTTGAGTAACAATTTAAGTCAAATTCTAATTAAGTTTATTTAAATTAAAAAGCTCGAAACATAATCAATCTAATCCCTTATCTTAAACAATAATTAGAAATTGCCATACACTTGGAGGGATGATAAAAAAAATATAAAAAAAAATTAAAAACTTCGTAGCACGATCTTATGTCAACAATTACAAACAGACAATTTTAAGATTGAGGTCTAAATGAAAGAAATCAATTGTAACATGAGAAATAACAATGCTGTAAAAATAGAATTAGTTGATTGTATTTAATAGAAGTACCATTTCATTATCCAATATTAGAAGTGTCAATTTCATAGGTTAGTTTGCAAATTATTTTTTTGGTTGGGCTTTAACTTGTTTTATGTGGGTGGGTGAGCCTTGCAAGCTAATTAAAAAAATATGTATTTAAAACTATAACTAACAAAAATAATCATATTCCACTTTAAAACAAAAAAAAAAAAAAAGAGTTTTGAAAATTCAAATCACATGAAAGAAAATAAACTTATTATTAATTTAGGTAACTTATGATATGATTGAATACAAATCACATTTAACTTGTTTTATGTGGATGGGTGAGCCTTGCAAGCTAATTAAAAAAATATGTATTTAAAACTATAACTAACAAAAATAATCATATTCCACTTTAAAAAAAAAAAAAAGAGTTTTGAAAATTCAAATCACATGAAAGAAAATAAACTTATTATTAATTTAGGTAACTTAATTGATCTAAAATTTAGTATCGAATGACACTGACCTGTAACTTTAAAATAAAATATAAAAAATCAATTGTATTCAATCATATCATTAACAATCACTAATCACACTTTACGTACATATTACAACCATCATTTTTCAAGCCTAAATTTCATTATCTCATGCAAGCATTACCTAATTCTATAAAAAGAAATTATTATTTGTTTCTCCGATATATTTTCTATGTTTTATTTAATCTTTACTCCCCATATATTTAATTATTAATTACTACAATCGGTGCCCCGAAATCTCTCGAGGGCGTACTTGCGTTCACTCCAACCACAACTGCACAACATCAACGTTAAACGCAAAAAACCAAACGACAGCGCAGCAACAACACCGCATTGCCAGACGAGAGAGAGAGAGAGGAGAGAGAGATTGTATGTATATCTCAGCCTTTGCTTTTTGCTAGAGACGGAGAGAGAGAGAGGTTTAGAGATACAGAGGAGAGAAAGAGAGTGAGAGCGCGCGGCATCGTTCGGCACTGTCCGGAAAAAAATGGTGGATCAGTATCTCGCCGGCACGCTTCTCGCCGGGGTTTTAGGGCTTGTGGCGGCTTACGCATTGTTTTTTAGAAGAAACGGAGGAGGGAGTGAGAAGGACGGCGTCAAGACAACCACCATTATCGACGGCGAGTGCAGATCGAGGGACGGCGGTCGCGACGATGTCGACATCATCATTGTCGGCGCCGGAGTTGCCGGCGCCGCCCTGGCCCACACTCTCGGAAAGGTTAAAACCTTAAACTCCCTTCCTCTTTTCTTGCTTTCTTATGACGCAGATCCTTTTTACTTTTTTATTTCAAAGTTTTGCTTATGTCAACAATCTTTATAGCGTATATGTATAGAGTCTGTCGAAGCTGTTGTAATCTCACTAAAATATGCGATTTTGATTGGAAGACGATGAAAACAGAGACTGATGTATGATGCTGGGCCATACTGATGTTAAATCCTAAGATCTTTGAACAAAAAATTTGACTGTTCGCAAGATTCCAAATTTGAATTTTCTGAACACTCAATTAATAGGAAATAGGAATGCTTCCTGACCAGTACTTTCAGATGAAACTTTGTTGGTAAAATGGAAAAATAAACAGATTTCTTAGTTTAGCTTTTATGGTTCGAGTTGCAGGATGGGCGTAGGGTTCATGTGATTGAGAGAGATTTGAGCGAGCCAGACCGAATTGTTGGAGAATTGCTACAACCTGGTGGTTACCTCAAGTTGATTGAGTTGGGTCTTGAAGGTATAAATTCAGATTATCATAGACATAAGTCATCCTCAGCTTTTAAAGTGAACCCATCACGTATTGAATGGAGAAAATATTATGTATGGCTTCTAGGGTTTAAATTTCGTTTTTTCAGTGTATAACTTTTGAGCTCTGATTACAGACTGCGTGGAACACATTGATGCGCAGCGAGTATTTGGGTATGCTCTCTTCAAGGACGGGAAGAACACCCGCCTTTCTTATCCTTTGGAGAAGTTTCATTCAGATGTGTCTGGAAGAAGCTTTCATAATGGGCGTTTTATTCAAAGAATGAGGGAGAAAGCTGCATCTCTTCCCAAGTATGTTTATGTTTCCTCTCTGCTGATATATAATCTGATGATTTTTTCAGTTCTATGCCCCATTTCTGGGGCTGGCCTGCAGATGCTTAGATTGTGTTCTTTGTTTTATATCTTCCGAACTTCTCGTTGGAAACTCCCTACCTAAGTGTATTACCATTTACTTGGAATTTGGGGTTATGACGTTGCTTGTTTCTTTGGATGTGTTAAGAGTCCACATCTATAAAATAAGGCCATAAGTTAGACTAGCTAATTGGTTGGATTCAATCTTTTAGTGTGGTTTGACTCATGTGCATTATAACCCAGTTGAGTGACCATGACCCAATCTTAAATTATAACAGTTTGCTTAGGATCTGTCACTAGTTTCTGTGTCTTCACAATTTTTTCCTTTGAAGTTATTGTCTTTTCACTGATCAATGCTTCTACTCATTACCTATATATATATATATATGTACTAGTGTCCAATTGGAGGAAGGGACTGTTACATCCTTGCTTGAAGAGAAGGGAACCATTAAAGGGGTGCAGTATAAGTCTAAATCTGGCGAAGAGTTGAAAGCATATGCGCCGTTGACCATTGTATGTGACGGTTGTTATTCAAATTTGAGACGGTCACTTTGCAGCCCCAAGGTAAGGACGAATCGGAATTGTTTGTTTTCATTTTAACTGATGACAAAATTGCAGGCTATTTATAGTTGAATACGTTCAAAATAGCAAGCATCATTTGTATAACGACTTTCTTTAGAGTTTTATATTTTTGGTGTTTCTCTATTGTCCTTTCTCTTGATGTTGACTGCAAATGTTATGTTTTATTCTGCAGGTCGATGTGCCTTCTTGTTTTGTTGGTTTGGTCCTGGAGAACTGCCGACTTCCACATGCAAACCATGGACATGTTATTCTGGGAGATCCATCGCCTATCTTGTTTTATCCCATAAGCAGTACCGAGATCCGGTGCCTGGTGGATGTTCCCGGTCAAAAGGTACCGTCTATTTTGAATGGTGAAATGGCCAAATATTTGAAGACCGTTGTTGCTCCCCAGGTAGACGTTAAAAACTACTGGCGTTTTAGTAATGACAAATAATAGATAGCGGGAACTTGTATTCTAAATTAGTAACAATCTGGTCTCAGGTCCCTCCGGAGCTGTATGATGCGTTTATTGCTGCTGTTGATAAGGGCAACATTAGGACGATGCAGAACAGAAGCATGCCTGCCGCTCCTCATCCCACCCCCGGGGCTTTGCTAATGGGCGACGCCTTCAACATGCGCCATCCCTTAACTGGTGGAGGAATGACGGTAGCGTTGTCGGATATAGTCGTCCTACGCAATCTTCTCAGACCTTTGCAAGATCTCAACGATGCACCCACTCTCTGCAAATATTTGGAATCTTTTTACACCTTGCGGAAGGTAAACTGTTACAAACGCTCGAATTTGCTTACATTTTCGGGACTGCCCTCTCAATCCGCTTGTATGTTTGATGTTTGTGTGTCTTGCAGCCCGTGGCATCGACCATCAATACATTGGCAGGTGCACTTTACAAAGTGTTTTGCGCCTCGCCCGATCAAGCAAGGAAAGAAATGCGGCAGGCGTGCTTCGATTACTTGAGCCTCGGAGGGGTTTTCTCGAACGGCCCCGTGTCTCTGCTCTCCGGGTTGAACCCTCGACCACTGAGCCTCGTCTGCCATTTCTTTGCTGTTGCAATCTATGGCGTGGGGCGTTTGCTGCTGCCTTTCCCCTCGCTCAAACGGATGTGGATCGGAGCAAGATTAATCTCGGTGCGCCCTCGTATTTCAATCTCTCATTCTTTCTTTCTTTCCCCACTTTCCTTGGATTTTAACTTGTGTGTGATGAAAATGAAATATTTACAGAGTGCATCGGCCATCATCCTCCCCATCATCAAGGCAGAAGGAGTTAGGCAGATGTTCTTCCCGGCGACTGTTCCGGCATATTACAGAGCTCCTCCTGCGTCCTGCTAAATCAAAGCGGCGGCCGGCCGCGGGGATATATGCTTCCATTCAACAAATATATTATTGTATCTCTAATTTGTCTCTTTCTCCACTTTTGTTCATTAACTTCAAGTAAATATTGTGCACAACATTTATAGATTCCTGTCTCATGTACTCTCCAGCATCAATCTTTTACAGATTACTATGGCGATGTAATGTAAACTGTCAATTACTTCCTATGATTAAAATATACTCCGTAGTTTAGAACACATGAATAATTATCACTCTGGAGCGAGCAATCCCCACAATGTCTACAAACAGTAATGAATATGATCATGAAAGATCGCCAATTAGTCCATATATATATATATATGTGTGTGTGCGTGTGTTGATTGGAGGCTATTTTAAATGTGATCATGGAAGTTCCGTCAACTAGTTGAGATTTTACGATAAATATATTTAGGGTGTTTTTGAAAAATAAAAAAAATGATTTTTGAAAAATAAGCATATTTTTATTTAATTTCAAATTTTAAATATTTAAAATATATTATGACGGTGGTGGTGGTAGCGGTTGATTGATTGTTTTATTGTTACAAATTAAAAAAATTAATTTATTGTTGCAAATTAAAAAAATAAATTTTCAAAAAATAAAAAAATAATTTTTTTTTAGAAAATCTCCTGTCATTGATTACACCCCTATTTTTCATTGACTTCTATTTTCTCCCTTTTAGCCAAACACTAAAAACCTGAAAAATCATTTTCAAACACACCTTTAATTAAGCAATACCAATATCTATTAATCAACTCTTTGATTTGTCTCCATGATTACTTTATGAGGATCTCATCTTTCTATTTTGGCGTCATCATATATTTCGATCACACAAATTTAATACGGTAATTGCTTTCTAATAATCTAATTTCATATAACGAATATTTATGTCCATTCATAATTTTATTGTTAAGTTATTAAGTCTGAAACAATATTAAATCTAAAAATAAAATTGCATTGTCATTTATCATGACTATTCGTAATCATTCTTCTAATTGTATATTGTGTCATATACTATCATTCACGTTCATTTTTAATTGTTAATATCTTTGGGTTCTATAATCTATATCTTAGTTATAGTTTGTGGAGTAAAATAAAGAATTTTGGAGACCACAAAAGTTATCCAAAAAGCTCTTCAACATTAGTTCAATTGTATGAGGTTGAAGGATGGATGCGGAACGTACAAGTCTCTAATGCGGCGGGACTTGTGGTTTAATAGTTTATGCAAGCGACGGTTAAGTCGGTTTTCAGCCGTTTGGACAGGCTATATCCTTGCACTCCACGTGGCGTTTCTGTTTTGCCAACTCAATCTTACGTAGAAGCAACAAATTGAGGCGCCTTTCCAATTATCTTTCAAATCGCCAGCAAATCGCATCTGTCTCACCACCCACTTCTTCCGCATTTCAATTTCAATGAGAATTCCAAACCCAAAATTGATTCGCGATAGAATCTCATTCATTAGGGTTTTTTCTTTCATTCATTTTCTTCTCCTTTTCAACCAAAATTCAATCTTTTCTTTTTTTTCTCTTTCCCTTTTTTGCCCTCTCTTTTCCCTCCCAATCCAAAGCAATCTTTCTATCATATATCCCTTCAAGGCAACATCACGATTTTCGTTTAAAAGGGTAAGTATTTGTCCCCTTTTGTTTTGTAAAATCTATTGCTTTCCTTTTTCTTTTGAAAACGGGGCGATTGATCTTATCTTCTGCTTTCGAGATTTTTATTCGCGATGCATTAATTTTCTGCGAGCAGTCCAGTTTATATTTATCGGTCTGTGAACATTGGGGAAGTAGTAATTGATTGGTTTATTGTAGAAGGAGATATTTTGTGGGTATGCGAAAAGATTTAGTTATTATTGCTAAATAATTATTTCTGCGATTTCGGAAATGTAAAAATTGCAACTTTTCTTAATCCTGCATTTATAAAGTTGAGTATAGTTGTCAAACTGGAAGGACTTAGTTGAAGCCAATTGAAACAAGTTATTGATATGCTCTTCTATGAGAAATCATTTATAAGTTGGGGACATGGCAACGGATTGTTGCTTGTTTGCTTCTGTATGCTCTGTGGTTTGTCATTATGCATATATATCTATATATATATATATATATATATATATATATATATATATATATATATATATATATATATAAATTCATTTTGATATCTGCCTGTACCAACGGAGAAAAGAACTTAACTTTTTATGATTTTATTATTTTACTTTTGCAGCTTCTAGGCTTCTGAGAACACCGGGGCTTATTTTGTGGCAACTCTTTGCCTTTAATGGATGATTTTGCAAATGAGTTGCCTTAAGATTACGCATTGTATTTTGAACAAAGATGAATCTATCTGCACTCTTGACCTCTGCTGGTATGAACACAGTAGTGTGTGTGGTTTGTTTCATTCTGTATTCAGTTTTAAGGAAGCAACCAAGCCTGGTCAGTGTGTACTTTGGACAGAAGCTTGCTCATTTGGGACCAAAGCGTCCTGATCCTCTTTGTTTTGAACGATTTGTCCCTTCTCCTAGTTGGTTTATGAAGGCATGGGAGACAACTGATGAAGAAATAAATGCTGTTGGAGGCTTGGATGCTCTGGTCTTTGATCGTACAATTGTTTTCAGGTGATTTCGTATTGTTTCTTTTTTACTAAATTAATTTTTCCTCAAATTATTTGTTGTCTTTAACATGTTTCAGTTTTTGTAAGTTTTCACTAAAAAGTAGTACTCACTGTGAAATTATATTAGATGAAGGAATCTATTAATGGATATTAGATCAATCAGCCATGACTGTTTTAATGCTTTGGTTGAGAAGGATTGTTTTTTGGTTCTGATGCTGAAATATACTGAGGTACAGATGATATGAGGGATTGTTTTCGTTCACACTAAACCTTGTAACGTTATGCCAACATCAACAAATTTCAATCTTGAAATTCATATTGAACACTAATCTAAGACTGCATATGATTGCCTTCATCTTTCTTAGGTCTTTGCTTTCAACTGTTCTTACCTTCTCTACTGCTTTACTTTGATCCTCCACTGCTTACATTTAACTGTGCTTTATTATGTACAGTATCCGAATATTCTCCATTGCTGCTTCCATTTGCCTTTTCCTTGTGCTGCCACTCAACTATTTCGGGCAGGATGTAGCACACGAGCTGGCTCCTGAGGACTCATTGGAGATTTTCACCATTGAAAATGTCAAGGAAGGGTCTCAGTGGTATGATACATATATCTTCTGATATTGACAATCTACATCATTTCAACCCTGAGTTTTCAGATGAATTAGGATGTTATCTTTTCAAATTTACAAACATTGGTGCACTGTGCAAGATAACCTGCATTTGACTAAATGTCTACCATTTGTTTGAAAACTTATTTGGTTGTATCTTTTGACCCAATGGCCATCATTTGATTTTATCTTAACAAACACTTGAAAGTCTGCAAACTTGCAAAATTTTCTTATTTTTCATTCTAAGGACTCGAGGACAGATTTTGCAAGCAATCAGAGTTAATTTGGTTGTCTATGGAGAAATTATTACTGTATCTTGGATGGATTTATTATAATGCGATCCATACAGTACAAACTTGCCATTGTTTGAAATTTTTATTTACCTCCTGCTTCCCATCTTTTTATGTTTGCAATTGTTCTTACTTTTGTTTTGTCTTCAATTTTCCTTGTCAGGCTTTGGGCTCATTGCCTAGCGTTATACGTGATTTCATTCTCTACTTGCATTCTCCTATACTTTGTAAGGATATTCAAGGCCATATCTGTTATCTATTACTGTAATATTTTTTTTTACACCCACAGAAAACATAAGCTTTCAAGAAGTATCTGTTTCTTTCATCATTGAAGATTTGCCACTTTTTCTTAGGAATACAAATACATCACGAAAATGAGGTTGGCTTACATTAGTTCATCTGTTTCCAACCCTTGTTATTTCACGGTTCTTGTTCGTGGTATCCCACGGTCTGAAGAAGAATCGTACAGTGAGCTGGTGGCAAAATTCTTTACAAGTTATTATGCATCAAGCTATTTAACTCATCAAATCATATACCGGTCGGGTGTTGTTCAGAGACTGGTGGTAAGTATCTAAGAGACCTTTTTCTGATTGTTTGCTAATGGTTTTTATGATTTTTTTGGGGGGAAAAGATTATTTCTGTAATTCGATATCTTTTTCTTATCCTGGGAACGTCATGCTTGTTATTTGGCTTAGACACACTGCATTGTAGTCATGGTCTTAGAAAATAGTTGCACAACCATGGTGATGGGATTGTCATGCTAAAATTGATCAGAACCTTTCCCAGCCATTGTTGGATCATTTGGAATCATTGTTGTGAAGGCATTAGATCTAGCCTCATAGATTATGCTGCTGAGCACTGAGGACAAAGATTTGACCCCTTTGGACTTTTGAATCAGCTGCTTGCGTTTTTTTTGCTGTTTATTATGAAATTATTTACTACATGCTTGCTGGAAAATAAGGCATAGTATTCTTGGGTGCCATGAATGAGGGAAAATAAGTATTGTACTAAATTAAATATTCCCCTTCTGCTAGGCAGTATAGTTGTTCAAAATACAAATTGTGAGATTGTGTTGATTAATGGTTGATATTGTGTGTATATAACCACAGACCGATGCAGAAAAATTTTATAGGATGCTAAAATCAACCCCTCAAAGGCATGGGAGCTTATTGAGATGCGGCATCTGTGGTGGAACATCAGCATCTTTCAGGATCCTTACTAGTGATTGCTCTGAAAGTGATCAAGAAAGTACTGATTTGTTTTCGGATTTTAGAGATCAGGTAATAGATGCTTTGAAACTTTGCATGTCTTTCTAGTTCTTTCGTTTTGGGTAAAACAGGATCCTAACATAATTGTGCAAATGATTTTTTTTTTTAGGAATGTGCAGCTGCTTTAGTTTTTTTCAGGACTCGGTATGCTGCTTCGGTTGCTTCACAGGGAATTAAATCTCCAAATCCAATGTTATGGGTTACAGATCTTGCTCCAGAACCCAGAGATATGTATTGGTCAAACATTTGTGTACCGTATAGGCTTCTTTGGATTCGTAAAATTATTATTCTTGTGGCTTCCTTCTTCTTCGTGGCCTTCTTCCTTGTGCCAGTGTCTCTAACCCAAGGCCTTGTTCACCTCGATAAGCTGCAGCATGCATTTCCATTTCTAAAAGGACCGTTGAAGGGGTGAAGTATT